TTATAAATAAATCGTATGTTATTTCTTTTATAAAGAAACATTAATTTCTATTATCGTCCTCTTCTATTATCGCTCAAGATCCAGTCCCGAGTAAAGAGATTCAGTTTTCTGACTCAAAATCGGACCGCTCGCCGTACGTCGTCGGGTTAGTAAAGTGACCCTTCTGATCGTTGACTAGCTCTTCGACTTATAAGTACAGGTGAGGCTTTCTTTACGTTGCGTTCTCCTACAGGACGTAACAGTCTCCTGCCTGATATCTTCGACTTTTTCTCATATCTACTAGTACTTTTTGTACCTTTTCGACTTTGCGGTACTGTTTCACTCATTTTACAAGTAATCACTAATTTTTTAAAGCGTATAATCGATATACAAATTTTATATTCAAAAATATAAGAGAGACAAAAATGTGTAAACTGTATCGTTTCAACGGCTATACTGACCCTATACTAACACATTTGCTCTTTTATATTACTAGTGCCATCTATATGTTCACTAGTGCCATCTATACGTTTACTAGGAACCTAAGAAAACCTTACCCAAGCTTAACTGTGCGTAACTAATTATTATTCTCAGAAGGATCCCTTCGCAAACGCTTCACATCTTACCGAAAGGTATGACGCTTTAAACTTCCAAATATGACATTTAGGAATTTTTCTTCGTTATAGACCTTGTGACGTGGCAGCCTCGGAGGCGCTCGTCTCAAGAGAAACCGTACCGATTTGGTGTGAATGTTTCGCATATCGTGTCGCGAACGGCTTTTCGCGAATATTCTCGGTTACCGCGTCCCGTCGTATTTTGTTTGTGAAAGCCTTTAGGACAAATATCGGAAGCGAATTTTGCGAGCGGAGCAGATGCGAAGGTTAACGCCGCCTCCAACTTTGTGCCCCTCGGCTTCCCTTGCCGGCTATCAGGATTAGAGGAGCGGAGGACATCGAGGAACGAGGAAGCAGCGCCCGCCGACGCATCGCTCATACTCAGGTGAATCGCTCTCTCGAAATTTTGTGTTAAAATATTCCCGAATTACCGCTCGCTCAGCAATATCGAATATTATACCGCTTAGAATATTCAGTAGCGAGAGCACAGATACCGCAATTAGACAGGAGTCTGTGTTTACTTTTAGCGGACGCAGTCGTCGCGACAAACCCAGCAGGAAAAAACGGGAACGCCGAGAGAGGCAGCGAGCAGATCCACGACGGCAACATTGTCTCGAAACAGAAAATGTCTCGAGACAATCGTACCGAAAATTGCCGATTCCCGACTGCCGAACATCGCAGGGCGAGAGAGGAAACGACGAAGGAGGACTCACGAGGATACGCGATCCTCCGGGAGCCGACGGACAAGCAGCCTTACCGCGACCATCGCCGTGAGCTGACAACCTCTTCGAAGCTCCGACTACCGTTATCGTGGGTGATTATCGCGATTGAGAGAGAGAGAAAGAGAGAGGCAGGGGGATCGAGGAGTGCGAGGATAGAGAGAGAGAGTGGATTAAGAGCGTGGAGCGGGCGAGCGAGAGGAGGAAGAGAGAGAGCGAGAGAGAGCGAGGGAGGACTGTCATCGCCACCGCCGCAGCTGACCCAAGGGCCGCCACCGAAATTTATAAGACCACTCATCTATTTCGTATTTTGTTCGATCGTCGTAGTTCGTGTTGTTATCGCTCACGTACCGTTGTCTCGTCCGCGGAGCGGCCGCACGTATTAAAGCTCACCCGAAAAGATCGTCGGTTTCTCATTGGGCGGGCATATTGTCGTGTCGCGAGTAACGCCTGCTTTGTGTGAATATTGCCGAGTTTTTTTTATCGGGACGAGCGAGAATCCCGCAAATAAACATATTGTTACCGAAAACGTGTAGAGTCATTTTCGCCCTCTCCTGACCCATCCCTTCTCCGACTTAAAATCTGAGGAGCTATCGGTCCCGACGGTTCCGGGACACGCGAATTTTGTGGAACATATCGCATCTCGCGTTTTTCGAGGTGGTGCGGCCTTTCCACACCTGGCGCCCAATTATCGTTTGCGTTTTAGTAGCATGAATCAGAGCCGACGGCAATTTGCCGACGCGGCGGATAGGCGACTGTCTGCCGTCACTCGCGAATCACCCTCGCGAGTACCGTCACAACCTTTTGTACTTTATTTCTAAGACCTTAAAGCATCATTTAAGCAAAAAAAAAAGATTTTTTGAAAATTCTACAGGCCCTCCCTTAAATGCCTTACCCCTTAAATCCAGTACTCCTCTCGATTTGTACTTACGCGAAGCCGCCTGATTCGGATAAGGCGGTTTCTCCACGATGCGTTTACGACTCTGCGGAAGAAGTTCAAACGCCGCTCCGTCACTGGTACTAGCGGTTACGAGTATCGGGCTTATGAAACAATAAAACGTTATTCTTAAAATTCACGTAAATTATAAAGTTCTAATTTTCAGTATAAAATTATAATATAATAGCTCACCCGTTATAAAACATCACGTTGTCGATAATCCCCCAAACGTCCCTGACATCTTCCTCAAAATCCCGTCGAAATATAAGCATTTCTCTTAGTATTTTTATTAATTTCGTATTACTCCGGAATTTATTGCACTTGAATAAAAGCGTTAGCAGCGTACTGCTACAAGCGTACACGAATATATAAAATACAATATAATTTTCCGCGTTATCGATGGAAATACGCGCCAAATATGGTGCGTATATTCGCGCTGACATAAGAAGCCGTAACAATAAATTCACCCACTGGCGACATTGTCACACGTCTTACGTCGGGAAACTAACGAAGGAAAATGCAAAACCGGGATTTTCTCCTCGCATATATATGTTATGTCCTGCACGGACGTGAATCATACACCTTATCTTTTCTTCTTACGGAACACATCTGACAATCAGCTCAAAATCATAAACGGTTTTCCATCCCTCACAATAAAAATTCCAATGATAATCCCAGATATAACCCTGGGAAATATGCAACCGAAATCCTCTTAATCTTTAAAACATATTCTGCCAGACTTTATCTACAAAATCAAAAGAAGCCGCCAAATCTCAAACACAAAATATCCGTTGTCTCACACTCCTCACTGACTCATTTTTCTGACTTACATCATTTTCTACAGCCCTACCCAAAGATTCCCTCACTTGAAATTCTTCCAATCACTACTTCTCTAAAACACGCGATTTTTCTCCACCCACAACCCTAGCCAAGGAAATCTTCCTAACTCTAATCCCTCAACTATTACAAATTTACCCCATACCTATCATCTCGAAGGAATCCAACAACTAGTATCCCCGAAAATTTACATTTTCCTACCCAAACTACTCCAAACTGATACCCTTTAAAAACCGCGACTCCGCGCTGCAAGCTCACTTCTTAGAGCACTACTTACTCTTCTTCTTCCTAGAGCACTTCAATCCGCATTCAAGACTTCTTCACTACGTCCGAGTTTATATTTTTCTTTTACTTTGCGCAATTTCCTGTCTTTTCGCGAGTTTTTGTGCGAATCTTCCTCGTGCTTTACGTACATTTGCGCCGATTGAGTCCGTGAAACTATCGGGTAAATTATCTAACGCTAAAATCAATTTTAGGCGCTAATAATGCTCCGACATCGGAACCCGACCTATCGAATTCTGACAGTATTTTTAGCGTGGAAACGGTTATTAATGAGGCCACTGTTATTGAATTCACACATAAGGCAGCATAAATACTTATAAAATAACAAAGGTATCATATTAAAATCAGTTTCATGTGATATAAATATAATTTTACTTTCAGAAAACAGTGGGGATGATACCCGCGCTACCGAGACGTAGTCACTGACGCCGGCGTGGACGACGACGACAACGACAACAATGTCGGCAGCGACGACGGCAACAGCGTTGGCAGCGACAACGACGATAGCATCGACAACGACGACAATGATGACGACAGCAGTCATTGATAACGCCTCTGCCGCCAATGACTTCGACAACGGCGTCAATGTCAGTGAAGGCGGTAGTAACGGGGCGAAGACAATGACGACAGGGAGGAGGATGACAACGGCAATACCGGGAATAATGCTGAAAACCCTCACTACTATCGACAGGTTTTTTCGGGAATAGCAGCTAAGAACTTTCGCGCGAAGCTACGCGCTTGTGTGTAGGCGCGGGATTTTCTCGATGTATATTTTTACGTTCGAATTTAATCAAAATGTCTGTAAACGGAACTAACACTGAATTACTCGCCGGTTAGTCCCCTTTCCGACGAAGAGAAATACAATATACTCCATATTCCCGATATAGAATGAGAAGAAGAATGGGAGAGGATATTGTGGGTAATGTAGAAATTCCCCGGGAATTTCGGATTTGGTAATTATCGGGTATAGGGGAGTCAGCTCCAATGACCTTGACCTTCACATATATTGTCAAGGTCACTACCCTGAGTAACATTCAAAAGGTTTTAGCCGTCGCTCATTATTTATTAAAAAGTTATGAACAAAAGAAGTTTCGGTAATTATAGACTATAGGAGAGTCAGCTCCAATGACCTTGACCTTGACATATGTTGTAGAGGTCACCCTCCTGAGTAACTCTCAGAAGATTTTGGCCGTCGCTCGTTGTTCGTTAAAAAGTTATTAACAAAAAAATTTGCATAAAATGAGTCTAATTTTTGGACACTGTATATATAAAAACGATATTGTGTACTGTTAATGAGCAATATCGAATAATAACTGCAATATCGAACGACTAGCAGGGGGCTACGCCCCCCGCACCCCTCCTCAAATCTAACCTAACCTAACCTATCGTCACATTAACACAAAAGTTGAACACTTTAATAAACAATGACTGACGGTTAATGTGACGATAGGTAGGTTAGGTTAGTTTTGAGGGGGGGTGCGGGGGACGCAGCCCCCCGCTAGTCGTTCGATATTGCAGTTATTACTCGATATTGCTCGTTAACGATACGATTGTTTTTGTATATACAGTGTCCAAAAATTATACTCATTTTATGCAGCTTCTTTTGTTAATAACTTTTTAACGAACAACGAGCGATGGCTAAAACTTTCTGAGAGTTACTCAGGAGGGTGACCTCTACAACATATGTCAAGGTCAAGGTCATTGGAGCTGACTCCCCTATACCCGATAATTACCGGAGTTTATGCTGGAAAAGCCTCCTCACGAGTGCGTAATGTAAAATTTATTATATTGAAATACGGAGGGAAAACGCGCGACGTTTTAAAAACTTTCATATCTTAGGGCGGGAGGTGAGTATAAAAATCCCGCCCGCCGAAGGTTCCGACATCGCTAGTCATTTAGAAAACGCATTCCGGGAAATCTATTTTTACACCGTTAATTCCCGTAACGCGGGTGATTACGTGTAGTTATCTTTCACTTCGATGGATTTAACACGCGGACCGGCTGGTTTGTTGTTTCGTTCGGTGCGGGACTTGACTTATGAGGATATTTGGAGCCTCATAAGCTCAGTAGCGCAGAGCGCTGGGGATCACGATATTGCGGAACGTTTTCTTACGGTGTACAATGTCGGAATACCTTCGGGAAGGGAGGGGGGGAGGATCGAATAAATTAACGCGCATGGATATAGTAAAACGCTTGATTTTAAATATAAATAATCGGAATAACATGTGTCTCTCTCGCTCCATCGTCGTGATTTGCGATACAGTACGCACTGGTTTATTTTGAACGCGGTACAGTATGCATTGGCGAACTGCACAAAAAATGGAATAATATAAGGCGCCCATATTCTGCGTTACAAAGACATTTGGCCGAAGAAATAACGAGGAACGCCGATATAGTTATATCCGAGGAGGGCTGCGACATTCCTGAGATCGAACGTTTTCAACAGCTTCTTTCACTAGGAAATATCGCGATTGTTTATAATTTCAACAGTTTCGGTCACGGAGTCCCTCCGTTGTATGGCGGACATTCGCCTCTCGTTCTCATATAACTAAGTATACATTAAATGTATTACGAGCGTTCACGACATTGTAAACCTATTTTAAATTTAAAAGCCTCCTCGGCTAATATTATTGCGTTCCCTGTAACAAAGGTTACCGTGCTCGGTATGTAACGGGTCACCGGTGGTCAAACACATGCCCGCAATATCTCGGCGCGCCGCCGAGAAGCTAGACAAGCGATCAGCTGCGACGCATGTAACCGCGTGTTTTTGTGGAAAGAACTGTTTCGAACATTTAGGTTAGATTTAGGTTAGATCAGGTATAAATTATATACCTAACTTTATGATTTAAGTTTTTATGTTATAAATAAGTATATTATTAGATTTATAAAAAGTGGAAATTCTTCTAATATTAAGAGGATTGCATTTTTAAATCGAATGTGTTAAAGTTATAGGTTATTCCTCTAGATATTAGAGTATCTTCTTGAGGCCGTATATAAGCGAAGAATCCTTTAGAATTAAGTGGATTTTGCTAAATAATAGAATCTTTTTTTTGGGCGCTTAAAAGTGGTGGGGAGAGGTCGATTCGCTCAACTGTTGCGCGATATAGCTACTCCTCCCGAATTTGTGGGAAATCGCGAATTACGAGAGAAGAGCATTCGTCAGATTTTCGCCGAAGAAACGACTTTGCACGATAGCATTTCTATTCCTGACAATTTAGCGCCACATAATAGCACCCCTATTCCAAGAGCGAAAGTGCGAATGGATAACGAGTTCAACGAAGCATCGCTCGAAGATAAGCGCGGCGATGAAGGATACTCTGCGTTTATATCCGGCGACAACAAAAACAAAACCCGCGAGAGTGATCGCGATTCCAAACTCGCGAGGAAGAAGCGATTGTTAAATTGAAATCTCATGGAACCTTTGGACAGTAGCGCATATATCCTCGAAGACCCATCGTCGCGTAAAAATGTATCTTTTTCCGAGACGAGGGTATCGGCCGGTAAATGTGGATCCGGTGAGACAACTTTCGAAGAGGAACGGGACAACGAGGTGTTTATATCCAGCAGCAACAAAAAGAATAAAACGCGCGTGAGTGACAGAAATTCTAAATTCGCAAGGAAGAAAAGATTGTTTGATTGGAACCTTTTGGAGTGACGGGGCTGGAAAAATTATACTATAATTTAGTGCATTATGCGAGATACTCCGCCGTGAAAAATCTTTCACACGCCGCCGAACCGGATTTCAATCGAAACGAAATTATTAGATGACTCGAATCACAAGATGCGTACACACTACACAGACCAATACGACGCAAATTTGCCCGCTTACACTACAACGTGACGAATATCGACGACGTGTGAGAAGCCGATTTGATCGAGCTTCGCAATCTCAAGAATTACGATGATGACTACTTTTATTTGCTCACGATTATCGATGTGTTCAGCAAATACGTCTGAGTGGAGCCGGTACGGGACAAAACAGCCGTTAGCATGAAGTATTGAGAAACATCTGGGACCCTATTCTTGAATCTATATGCAACTTTACGTATACGCACGTCGCGAACGGTAAAAATACGCATACGTTTCTGTCATGGTATTCTTGAACGTTGTCTAGTATTCGCAGTTGGGAGTATATACGCTTTTCGTTGCGTTCAACTACGTTTAGCAACATCGGAAAACATACATATTTCCTGCAAACATTGACTAAAAATACGATACAATGGATTAATAAAACGGATTGATGGAAAAGGTAATGTATCATATTAAATTTCAATATTTATTATATAAATAATTAGAATTATTAAAATTTTAAAAATGTTTTTATTATAAAATTTATATTTTCTTAATAACGTACTCACGAAATCTTTTTTTATCTTAATAAACGATGTATTTTATAATTTATAATATATAGGTTAGAATTTTATAGAAAAACGTAATTTGTAACTTTTTTTATACTTATGAATAAATATTTAAAAAATATATATTAAAAGGGCTAATTTGAGTTCAAGCACAGATGTAATAGTGCTATTATATGATATACCATATATTATATGGTAGATAAAGCCTTCCTTATGTTAGGAAATAGAGAAATCCTTTATTGAATATAACATAAATCATCAAACGTTTCCGCTCAATCGTGAACCCTCTTCAGTGATAATTATTAAATATTTATTTTTATTTATTGATATTACAATTCTTACTTATTTTTGTTTTTTTAGATTTTTTAATGTTTAGAGTTATGACGGACATATCATAATTTTTGGATCAAATTATCTACTGTAAAATCACGGTTCTCTTAACGTTTTTATCGATTTTAATATCAAGAAGAACATTGAGGTCTGTTTGTTTCGCCCGAGTCATGATACCATCGTTTTGTAATTCTTTCTGTACAATCCTTGAGTAATTTTATTTTATTGTAATTATCACTAAAGAGGGTTCACGATTGAGCCGAAACGTTTGATGATTTATGTTATATTCAATAAAGGATTTCTCTATTTCCTAACATAAACAAGAAAGGCTTTATTTATATGATATAATAGCACTATTACATCTGTGCTTGAACTCAAATTAGCCCTTTTATATATTTTTTTAAATTTAATTTTTTTGAGTTCTTTGTTTGTTTTTTGAATAAATATTTGTCAACATCGAGAGTATGTCATGTTATATAACTTACAAAATGAAATACAAAATGTTATTACTAATAATATATTTTAAGTTACATCAATGCTATTTTTGCTTGAAGCAAAATATTAAACCTTAAATTTGTCATACCAAAACAAAAACATCATATAAAATATTTTAATTTGCAGTTATGTTATTAGATTAATCGAAATCGAAGCATTTTAAATGTTGGGTTTGCCTTGGTACAACAAATTTAAAGTTTTAAATTTTGTTTAAAGTAAAAATAAAATTGAGGTATAACTCGACCTTAATCACTTTTTTATGTAAATGTTATTTTTTATTGCAGATAGATAGTTTGCAAAAAGAAAAAAGATGTGCAAACATAACCAATGAACAGAGGACGCTATTAATAGAGTATTTAAAAAAGCATCTACAACTATTAAAAACAAAGATTACAGCATCTTATACTTTGAAAGATTCTATATGCTTATGGAATAAAATTACAAATTTTGAAATGCAGTTAACAGCGTTAAAAAAGATTGGAAAGGTTGGCGTAAAGTAAGCTATATTTCTATATTCACAAAACAATTCTGTATATTAAATATTTTTTTATGTATGAGGAACTTCAAATAGTTTGTATAATTAGTACTAATATTTTGATTTTAATATTTTAATCTCAATAAAAAACTTCTAGTGTTGGCATGATTTACAATCGCGGAGCAAAAAGGAGCAAAGCGCGATAAGACAATCTATGGCAGCAACAGAAGATGGTAAACAAACTGTCGAAATGTTGACATCAGAAGAAAAACATTTTCTTAATGTCATGTGTCCAACTAATATTTATAGGCATCCTGATATAGAAGAGTCGACTGTAAATGCATTGCAAGAATTAGAAGTAAGTTTTAACATAGAACATTACACATATTTCTAAATATTTATATTAACTAATAACGTAAATTTTATATTAACTAGTAAAGTAAGATAGGTATCAAATATATTATATTTTAATTATAACTAAAATATTTTACTTATATATATTATAAATATATATGCTTATGTATATTATAGGAGTAATAACATATAATTTTTACTGAACATAATCTATTTTTCTTCTACAGAACGATCCACTGGAAATACTGAGAATACTTAGAGGAATATGAGAAGAATGTTTTCTCAAAAATTATTCCTTCTACATATTCTAATAGTCAACACAATAAGGCAGTTTCCCGAGAAAGAATAATAGTTACAGAAAACAATAATAATGAATTATTAAATAAAAAGGAAAATAAATAAACAGAAATACGCAGTAATGACGTAGATACAAATTAATTTTCTTGCACAGTAAGTGAAGCCCTTCAGGACAGTGGAACGATATTTAATATAAATTTTTGTGAACAGAACAAAACTGGAATTCAGAAGAAAAAAAATGACGAATAAAAAGGTATTACAAAATGCACATTGACACTTGAAGTGTCAACAAAATTGAATAATATTTTGTAACGAGGCGTTTAAAACCTCGTCACAACGACCTGACCGAACATCCGTTGGGTCGTAAAACCAGGCGCAAAGCGCCAAATAAATCTCCAAACACAACCGCCGATTGTTCCCTCGAGTGGGGGAAACGGCGTACGTGCAAGATTCGCGAACCGGGTATAAAAGCCGAGCGCGATAACGACAAGGGACCAGTACTCAGGCTGCTCTCACGAGCGCGATCGCCTTGCTGACTCCCAGTCGGTCTGTTCATCGGCCATCCTGAGGCCGCTACAACTGGGAAAGGTGCGCTCATCATCTCGGGGTGTAGTGCCTCGCAACCGATCCGCTCCAGGAATCTCGGGATCTAGAGGTGGCGCGCTCACCGCCTCTGTCAAGCGCTCCTGACTCCCAGCCTCCTGGAGACACGACCATGAGGAAAGGTGCGCTTATCCTCCCTCGAAGCCTTCCATTATCGAGACGTTCCCGCCAACCGAGGGGCGTAGAGGTGGCAAGCTCACCGTTTCTGTCCTGCGCTCTGGACTCCCCGACCGCCGGATCGTCTCCGATCGCCTAGTAGCCCGACGCCGCGTCGCTCCCAGGGCGACTGACCTACGCAATCATAACCGCGTTGACCCGCCGCGATACCGTCCGCACCGCGACCGACCGAATCGCCGCGAGTCCGAATACATCCGACTGCGTCGCCGCCGTTCCCGGATGCCCGCACTAGGAATAAGTTCTTGTTTAGATATAAGCTCGCGTCTAGATATAAGTTCGCGTTTAGAATTAAGTTCGCGTTAGACACCGACTCAGAGTAACATACCAGAATAAATTATTTTGTTTTAGTTTACACGACACGCGCACTCACACGCACACTCACGAACCGACACCCGCGCCCAGCGTCGAAAGAACCCGTGGACACCGGCAAGCTCATCCACCGCCGTTCGGTGTCACGAGCGTTCGCTCGATCTCGTAACGGTTCGACCACTACCACGAGAACCGTGACAATTTATAAAAAAACATTTAAACTAAAAAAAGAATATTATGACGTAAAATTAAAATATATGAAAAGATCTGTACAAGCAAAGGAAAGGATAGCTCAAAGTATAGAGAATTGCAATATGTCTTAATAGAAAGTACTACACAGATATTGTATATTGTTATTCCTTATAACACAATAACTATAGAAGAAATATAATTATAATACAATTAAAGTATATTCTTGATGTCTATGTGATTGCAACAATTATGATTTCTTAAACTTGTGATTGCTTAATTGTAAGATGAGATTAATAAGATGGAGTAAATTCGAGAAAAAAAACAACGTTTTTTCATACAAAATAAATATTTACGTATAAAAAATATTCTTCCTGTGTTTATAGTTTATTTAATACAGAGCTCGGCAAGCGATGCATTTTTCAGCCGATTTTAGAGAGGTTCCGCCTGATGTTTCCCTTGCGTTGTTGCTTTGTGCGCAAAGTACAAGTTGCTCGATGCTCATGCAATTCATACGCTGTTTGCGGGGCAACAAGGCAAAGGGAATGTAAGAGAGAGCCTTCTTGGCTGGAAAGTGCATCACTTGCCGAGCTCTGATTTAATATATAAAAATGTGTTATTTTATTTTGTTTTTATTTTTGTATTGAAAAAAAATATTGTACAAAACCAACAATTAGCGAATATCACAGAAATATATCCACTGAATAAATAACACGATACAATACATTTAGTTGATATGGATCAATGCAAAGTAATCACCATGTAATTTGTGTAGACAACATAATATTTCATTGATGGCCGCTGACTGCTGATTTTATAAATTTAATTACTTTTTCTCATTGTTTTTTTAATGTCATAATTATTAAATGTTACAAATATGTTATATGTAATATAAAAAATCCGACAATTGGTTTTATGTTGTACTATTTTTATTTCAAATTATAAAAATAAATGTTTGGTAGCACAAAAGGGTTTATTTCTACATGCTCCTAATACAATTAAGAAAAATAATTTATTATCATCTACCGTTGTTTTAATCTACTAGCTGCTAAATCTGGTTCAAATCTGGATATTTCTTTCACATGCATTATGTTCTTCGTTTTCAATGTTATTTTTATCCACATAAATTCCAAAATCTAATTCTTCAGCTTCATTAAAGTTTAATGGCATTGGAACATTTTTATTTATACAAATATTATGCAATACAGCACATATGTAGATAATTTTGGATGCTATTGGCGGAGAATAGTGCAGTACTCTATGTTTTAGCAGGCATCTAAAGCATTTTCAATATTCTATTACACTGTTCTACTAATGAGCGGCACTTCATTTGCTTCTTATTATATGCTGCTTCTGGATTGTTTTTAGCTGGATTTTTTATAGAAATCATCATCCAAGGTCTTAAAGAGTATCCCGAATCACCTATAATCAAAAACAATTTAATGTAAGAATGTAATATTTAATCTTTACTTCCAATTTTATTTATATATCTTACCTAGTAGATGAAAACTGTTTGGATGTTGCCTATACAAATGAATTATCGTATTTTTTACATTTGAATTATTTCAAATGTACGTATCGTGAGTACCACCAGGGTAGCATGCATTAATATTCATTATTTTTAACCACCAGTCATAAATCTGTAATAAAGTACAGTATATAATTGTAACATATACATTTATTTTATTTTTCCAATTACTCATCTACTCACTAACATTCACGTACATATGTATACAAGTTAATGTTAAAATTATTCCAACTTACTAGCTGAGTATTAATTGAGTGATATTCTTTTCTGTTTATATATACTAGGTATGTAAATATGAAACCGGAATTTTTGTATAGAAAATACACGTTTATTCTATGAAAATGATAAAAAATATTTTATTCGAATTATTGCCCATCGCTAGCTATACATTTTTCCCACCTATCTGACAATTTGTGGATGCCACGCCAAAAAAACTGTTGCTCCTTTGAGGCAAACCAGTCATCGAGCCATTTTCGTATATTTTCGTAAGAAGTGAAGCGCTGCTTAGCAAGTGCGTGTCCCATCGATGCAAATAAATAGTAATCGGACGGAGCCAAGTCTGGTGAATAAGCCGCATGCGAAAGTATTTCCCAACTAAACGCCTCAATCGTTTCCTTGACCAGTTTTGCTGTGTGTGATGGTGCATTATCATGAAGCAAAATCACTTTGTGTTGCTGTTCCGGACGGCCGTTGGGTGTCCATGAGGAACGGGTACGGCGGGTGGCCGCGCCCCAGGCGCCGCTCAACTCGCGGTCGCCGGCCTCCCGCCGCCAGTGCGCGCCGTCGCCGCGACGCGGCGAGCGCGTCGGCCGGAGCCGCTTCTCGCGGTTAATTCTCGCTTAGGCGCCTATATAAGACGTCGCGCGAGAGCACTCAAGGCTTTTATGCCTTTTGCCTGTTGCCAGCTTTGACTGCACATCAGGTATTCTTTTACGCTCTAGGTAGCTTTCAATCGCCTTTTTGAGTGCGCAAGCACGTTGGGCACTTGCCTCACCAGAGGTTGTAACGCTGCACTCGCGCAGTCGGCACACGAATCGGGTGCAGCGACAAAATTAGGTTATTTACTTCCTGGTCAGTTCTCACAGTTCGGCGGATTTCGCGAAACCCGACAGCTCACACCAAAGAGTAAAGAAAGAAAGGAGAGAGCATTAGGTTTCAGACCAGGCGACGGATGTCCTATATATAAAAGTGGGTACTCAAGATGGCTGCTCATGGGCGCCAAAATTGAATGAGTTTTCATTGCAATATGATAGAAATAACTTATAAATATATTATAAAAATATATTAATTTCAATATATTAATTATGGATTTCAAAATCTGGAAATAAAAATAGGGAATAGAATAAAGTTTTAAATAAAATAA